GGCTATATTTTACTTCTTTGACCAATTTGTGTTAATCAGTATTGTTGTACTAGCAGTGTGTCATGTGATGCTGTGTGTCATGTGATGCGGGCCCGGAGATTTCTGTGGCCGTTTCTTTTGAGTGTGTCAATGTTAGGTGTCTTCACTCCCATGTGTCAATGATGCCGGGATTCACATTGGTTTGTTTCGTTTTGTTTTTTCTTCAATTTTCTCCATCTTGTCAAGCCATGCACATAGAACATAGCCTGATATGTTTGTTCCAAGTGAAGCCAACAATATTTTCCCCAGCAAACTCCTGAACTATTTGTAAGGGCATCGTGGTGAAATCAGGCGCTCGTCAAAATAAGGAAATCGAAGAAACCGGCATTTTCTCGCCGTTGGGCAATTTTTTTCTAATTTATTTTTTTGTAGGGGGCGCTCAACACCTTTTATGTCTATCTAAAAACACATTTCTGTGTGGATTTTACTGAAAATCGTTGATTAAAGACTCAAGAAACGTACATTTTCAGTTTCCGAAGACTCTCAAACTATGAAAGTTACAGACTTCTGTTCGACATAGATGGATATTTTTGTCCCCAAAAGGGAGGCCAATGTGAATGAACAGGCTTTAAGATGATGCCAATAATTAACCCCCTTTGCTAAAAAAATTTAACGAGTGCCTGATTCCACCTCGTCGTGCCACATTCGTCTTGTGGGATTCCTGTCGCGTTGTCATTTGTGAGGCAATCCTGACAAAATGAGTTACTTCTCGCAGTCCACAAATGGAGATATTGGCCAAATACGGACTCTAGGGTCATATTTGTAGATTTTCTATCGATGCCACATTCTTAAACTATGACCTGCCTTTTTTAATTTCATACTTATAAATTGTAAAAACTTTGCCTATAGGCGTGACGTATCTATTTCCATAAAAGGCTCGAATCCGAGAAGTAACTCATTTTGTCAGCAGGCTTCCCATTTGTCCCACGTCTGTGGTGTTCCTCAAGTACATCTGTTTAGTTTTAGTAAGTGTTTTACGGCACTTGCAACACGTCTGTTGACATGATGGAGTGTCTGCTGGAGCGCCGGGTTTCTAGTACTTAACACACACACACACACACACACACACACACTCACACACACACACACACTCACACACACACTCACACTCACACACACGCACACACG